CCGCAGTATTTAGTCATACTGCACTTGTTGAAAGGGGACACTTCCTACCTCCGTATTTCGTCCGTCAGCAGGTGCATTTGGGGCATTTCAGTGATGCTGTGGCGCCCTGTCTCCAGAAATCGTCTCCTCTCCGCCGGGTGACGCCGACAAAGTTTCCCATTTGTTGCCGAATCGACCAAACCTCCATGTAAGAACTTTATCGGCAGCTTTGTGCGTTTAATATACCAAAAAACAACAACAAAAACCCTGAAGCGTTTTTCCGGCCCAGCGCCTACTGAACTCTAACTTTGGATGGAAGTTGGTAGTTGTCAGTGTTTAGAGCTGCCCGCTTCTCCAAGGCGTACAAAGTAGATATTTGCATTAGGGCGACCCTCCCCTCGCCTTTCATAGCTGCCATTGTTTGTCTCAGCCTGAGCTCGGATTCAGTCCTTCTCTAAATCCCTGACGGAGGGAGAAGGGAACGCAGCTTTCTCTGAGCCCAGGCTGGCAATTAAAAAGCTGCACAAAGAAACTATTATGCCAACATTTTTATGCACAATACATTAAATAATCGTTGGATTAAAGCAAAAGTGGAAAAGAAAGTGAGAACAATGATGCTATTTTGCACTTTTCCAGTGCCAACTTAAATGGCAAGTTCGTTTGCAGCAACCACGTGAGAAGCAAAAATAACAACCAGACCTCCTTAAATACCTGAAACAGGTGCATGTTGAAGACACGAGGCTCTGATATTTCTTCTTTATTTGAATCAGATGTCACCATCTGTTTGAAGTTCAGCAGGTTCAATATGGAGGGCAAAAACTCAAAAAATATACAAATAAATGGCAAATGGTAGAACAATATGAAGTTAAATGCACCAAAAATAAATAAAAAGTATGACAGTTAATATTTCCTTTGTTTCCTTTTTCTTTTTGTCTTTTCTTTTAAATTATTTTCCATTTATTGTTTAGTATTTTACTCTTACTGTGCATTCAAAGAACTTAATACAGTGTTTTTAATAATGCAATATAATAATAATAATAATAATAATAATAATAATAATAATAAATGTCATGTGCACAAATGTTCACCGTTTAATATGGAAGCTTTTCTACCACTGAAAACAAACAAACAAACAAATAAATAACTGACAGGAAGAGATAAGTTCGTTTCAATCTCTGATTAAGTCGAAATTTTGAGATTCTATCCAAAATATTTTTAAATAAATAAATAAACAAACTCGGTAACAGAAACAAGCTTCCATACCTTATCACACATTCATGCACCACTTTTACACCATTAAGCTTTTTACATACACACAGGGCCACTTTGGGGTTCAATATCTTGCCCAAGGACACTTCAAAAAGCCAGGGATTGAACCACTGACCTTTTAGTTAGTAAATGACATGCTCTATGTCCTAGCCTGACTTGAGTGACAAACCATCCAAAAGTCTTTAAGAGGAGAGGAAATCTCAGAACTCCATATTTCATGTGGGACGCTCTGCAGGACCTCATGGAGCTGTAGCCGTGGAAGTATTAGGGACTCCCAGAGACACCCTTTTGCTTCAAGAAGCAGCAGCCACACAGTAGCACTTACAGTCAACCTTTATTAGTGGCAACAAAAAAAAAAGAAAGAAAGAAAAAAGTTTTGTGAAACACTCTTGAGTTTTGTTTTGTCTAAATACTCTCCGGACATGTGTTGTAGTTTCGGTTCACCACTGAGCGAGAGCCATGAATCCTGAAATGACCAATCAGGATAAGCAGAATGACAGTGATACCTTCTAATAAATACTAAAAGACGCTGGTATTTTTTAGCTTTGATTTCTGACGTATAATTGATATTTATACCAGAAAGAATTAAAATAATAGTCAGGCTTTTGTGTGGCCTAGCAGACAGTGGACCAGCTTGCAGTCTATCACAGAGCCAATGAGCAAACACCTGTTCATTGAGGGTTATCTCCTGAGCGCCCTCTAGTTGAATTCCAGCAAATTTCAGTGCAGTGGGATTAACGTCAGCAACTGCCCTATTCATTTTGTTGCTTAGTTTAGCTAAGTATCAGTTGTCTATGGATGTCCTGGCTACAAGTTTAAAACCAGGACACAAAAAAGTTCCTACACATAAGCAGCTTGTTCTGATTTGATTTTGAAGTTTTGTTTTGTAACAAGCAAGCTAACGTCTCAGTTTCTGATAATATTAGCCTAAAATTTCCTTTCTTGAACTTACAAAAAACTGGTTGCCAAAACCAATGGCATTAGTGCAGAGGGACTGAAAGCAGTTTGAGCTCAAAGATGTCAAAACAGCTGCTAAATGCACCACGAGGTAAGACCATTTAGTTAGCCAGTCATCAGATGTTCATACAATGATTACTTAAATGATCTGTACAGTCACCGGATCTCAGTCCTTTGGGATGTGATTGAATGGATGATATCAGCAGCTGACAAATCAGCTGCAACCGTGTGATGCTACCTGTCACTGTGGACCAAAATCTCGAAGGAATGTTTCAAGCACCTTGTTGAGTCTATGGCACGAGTTTTCTGAAAGCAAAAAGGGGTCTAACCCACTGGTAGCAAGGTGTACCATATACCTAATAAAGTGGCCAGTGAGTGTAATCACTTGTATGTGACGAATTATTGCCACCTAGTGGCTGGCAGATTGATTAAAAACAGATTAGTATGCAGCTTGAAAGCCCCAGGTTATTAGTGGGGTAATGGGCTAGTAACAGTTTGATCATGAAAGCATGGTTGGGGAATGTGCATCATTAGAGCACAGATACTTAATAAAATAAGGAGACCCGTATGAACATCTAGTTAACTTATTTCAGTTTACATTGTGAAGGATCTTAATAAATATAATGCCCGTATATAGTTAAGACTTTTATGACATCTAACGGACTGGGTGACTTGTATGCTGTTTTTTTAAAGCCACACTTCAATATTCTTGTGATACTTAACACAAAACCCACACACAATATAGGACATTGATTTTTTTCCTTGACTAAATTACTTCAATTAGTCAGATTACTAAAGTATTTCCAATAATTTCTATTAAATTTCCTATTAAATTGTTTCTTGTAATAATAATGAGCATGGTTGGTTTAAATCAGGGATCTCAAATTCATAAGTTATGTGGGCCAGACCACAAAGTCCCTTTTCTGTCAGTGTGAAGTTTAACTCAACATTTAATCCCAGAGATTTCTTAATATAAGAAAATGAAGTGCACTTTCAACAGTTCAACGTCTCAGTTTGACTTTTTTTTCTCCTTCTTTCTCTTTTTAATTAACCTATCCAGTCCAGCAGTTGTAACAAGCAGTCTTTCTACATGAAAGACAGAAATTTCTATAGTAGATAGTGATAAATCAGAACTTTTTATGTCTTTTAGTTGTTTATTGTTTTTTGTTGTAATATTGAACAGCCAAGGGGAGATCTTTACCAGTAGGAAAAGCTGTAAAACTTATGAAAATACAATTAAAAGTGAGGAACTTATACCCTTTTCCACATTTTGGAATTATCCAAGCTGTCCAAGGAGCTGGATTAGAGTCTTTGGCAGACTGACTCCAGTCACCGGGCCTTATGTTTGACATCCTTGGTTTAAATGGTTTAAATTTAAAATAAAAAAAAGTCTTTTTCTCTTTCTGTCCACACTTGCAGCAGACACATTCTCATCAAGCGTTACAAGGATAAATAAACAGACGTCCCCTGCAATAATATAAATGAACTATATAATGTTTATTAAAATATATAAAAGACAAAATACATATATGCATTATATCCATGATGAAATATGCATATAGAGTATAATAATTATACAGTAAAATGTGTTTACATATATATATTTTTTTATACATATACCAAGATATTTTTGCATTAAAACTGGCAGTGGTGATTTCATATTCCCCCTCCCCCCCAAAAAAAGGAAACCCCTCGGTCCACAGCAGGCCTCCGAGAGGAAATAACCCTCTGAAAAGCTTGAGAGCAGCAGCACCTTTACACCTGAGATCCATGTTTTGGAAAGGTCTCGCACAGAACAATACAACAATTCTGACAAATAGCTTCCATGAAGTATAATCAACAGCTTCAGGAAAGGAGGGGTGTTACATCAAAAGTCATCCTCTTTTATACTGGTACCATCCCGGCAGAAAATCTACAAATAACACTCACAGTGTGGCACACGATATCATCCTTGTGGTGCAGCATTATCTGTCACCAAGCCACATGCCCCCCTGGTACATCGAATCTCGGGATTTAACTGTTTAGCTTTCAGGAAGGAAATTAAAAGATCCTGGGCAGAAGAGTGAGACCCTCCCATGGGATGACATTTAGTCCTTGTGACTGGTGTGGTTGGCTGTGGTTGGTCCTGTACAGTTTCAGTCACTGCACGCTGAAAGCGGTCATGTCTGGTGGTAATGGTGGTAGTGGTGATGGTGGTGGTGTTCGTGATGATGGTGGTGCTCATGGCGCTGGACCACAGGAACCACAAAGCCAGGGCTTCCAGGAGGGACAGACACCTGCTCTCTCTCCAGGCCTGGCAGTACAGAGGGTACTGGGGGTGGCTGCTGGGGGTGGGACTGACTTGGCAGAGGGGTTTTGGATGGGGATAGCGCCTCACGGCCTTTGGCCCTCAGGCGTTTACTGTGGCTGTATTGCAAAGGATGCTGGTGGTGGCCGGAGCTTTGGGCTTGGTGTGGCAAGTGGTAGACATCCTGACCTCCATGAGCTGCTGCGCTGCCGCTGTGGAGCACCGTCTGCAGAGGAGGGTGGTGGCCATGACATTTAGTGGCTTTACCACTTCCGCTTCCCCCATTGTTGCCTCCGCTACCCTTGGAGGTTCCTTTAGGGGACTTGACGAACTGTGCACCTTTGCTTCGAGACTCGGTAGGATTGTAGCTATCACTGATGACCTGTGAGCGGCGCTGGTGTGCAACTTGGACTTCTGGTTCCTGGGAGCGCGAGCGGCTCTGCGAGCTGCGAGCATGAGCCTCCTGTGGAGGAAAGACAGGGGTGGTTCCTGACAGACAGGGCGGAGACAGAAATTAGTGTAGAACAGCTAAATTAAAGCTTCTGTAAATAAAATTACAATTTTGTTTCTCTACCCTCAACTTGCAAACAAGAAGGCTGCACGAAAACACATCAGAAAAGACATTTACCTTCAAATCTGGAGGTGTAGTTCTCTATACCAGCCAGGTCAAGGTAGTGATTCCTCCTCTCTGTGTTCTCATCCACACAGTAATGTTGACCCTCAGTGGCTGGTGGCTCATTACTCTGCCCTCTACTGTTGTAAATAAGCATGTGGGTGCGTTAAGAAATAAATAGCTAACGCTCAAGTCAAGTCAACACAGTGTACACAGGAAAGGTTTTAAAACAAGTGCTGACCTGATGTAGGACGATAGCCTCTTGTCGGCTGAACGACCCTCCTCTTGGTGACAGCGCTCTGATGAGGGAAGAGATCAATAGTTCAGACAAGGGAAAACTATCTTTCCCATAGATTTGCCATATCTGTAAGCTGCTATGTATAAATCATAAGCCAAGCGCTGTAAATGTTTGTATGGTTACACGTGAAACACTGGCCACATTTGTTGCTTCTGTTGCAGAAAATAATTCTAATAATGATAATTGTAATGATGTAATTAAGAGTATTGTTACAACGATAATCTAAGTTATAATGCTGGTGCCATCTACCTGCCCCCGTTTCTCTTCTGTGGCTTCTGGGCTCTGGAGTGACAGTCAGTTTGACACGCAGAGTCTTGCTCTTGTTATGACAGGACTGATTCACAGAGGCATCCACCACATCATAGATGGTGTGCATCAAACTCGACATGTCCTACAGTGACAGATAAAACACTTTTAATACAGTTTCTAGTGCTGTCGTCTGACAGAATAACATGTAAAAGGACAGACTATGAATAGTAAGAAGACACATGACACATGTAGAAGGCTCAGACAAGCACAACACAAAGGTAACATGATGCGAAGTAGCAGTGATCTCAACTCTGAATCTCAAAACACGTATAAGGTGCTTGGAATTTATAAAATATGAAACCAAAACAAAGTATCTTGTTTGTTTATTGATATAAAATTAGTTGCCAATAAATGAATAAATATATTTAGAGGTATGCTCATCAGTAAGTGTCGCTATGTTGTCACATACCTCTTTAGTAACTTTTCCACTGTTGTCAAAGTCATAAAGAGTGAAGATCCACTCCTGGCGGTTGTCATCCTCCACAGAAACATCACACTCCAAATCCTGAGAATACAAACATTTAAATTTTTAGCAATTGGTTGGCTTTAATCTCCATGTTTTTACCAATCCTAAGCATAGTAAGAGCACTGCATGCTCACTACTGCATGTCTGCAGTGTGCCAAAGAGAAAACACAGCAGCATTAATCACTGTGGTCAGTAAGTCCTTCAGCTATGACCTCTTTTAAGTCCTTCAACTTTCTACAGATGAGTCAAAAAAAAACAAGTGTGGCCACCTTTCGGAGTTACCACTTTTTTTTAACCAACTTGAAGTCAGAAGTATCAGGTAACATGTTCATAAATGGAAAAATAAACATCTGGAGTATAGAGCCTGCAGCGGTGGAGATGGAGAGCTGACACAGTGTGAATGGGCACGTGCATTTACAAGAGATGAGACCTCAGGGAAAGACAAAGCTCTTTATGGTTTCATGAAATAACCTCGGCTCACGTAACCAGTGGTGATCACCAAAGGGCAAATCCAAGCAGTTCTTTAAAACATGCAGG